AAGAATGGGGAGACATCGAGCGAAGGAGAGGAAGGAGGAGAGGCAGGACGAGGAGGAGGAGGAGGAGGGGGAGGAAAGCGGAGGAGAAGGGGCGATAAATAAATAAATAAATAGAGTGCCGAGCATGAAGTTGATAAATAAATAAATAAATAAGGACAAGCATGAAGTTAACAAAGAGGAGGAGGAAGCAAGGAAGACGAAGGAAGATCGAACGAGGGGAAAGAAGAAGTACAAATATGGGGAGAAAGTGAGGAGGAGGTGGAAGAGGACAAGAGGAAGAAAAAGAAGAAGCATCCGGAGAAAGAGAACAGGTGATGAGGAGGACGAGGAGAAGGAAGAGGAGGAGGACCGGAGGAGGAGGAGGAGGACCGGAGGAGGAGGAGGACCGGAGGAGGACCAGGGGGCGTGAGAAAACGAGTAACTAGACTACAAGAGGAATCAGGAGAGCAGCAGAAGTAAGCAATTGCTGATTGAACGGTGATGAACGAGCAGTGGAGATCGAACGGTCGAGATTTCGGGACGGTAGTGATCGAACGGTCGAGAATTCAAATTCATTGTCGGTGTTATATATTGTACTGAACTATTTAAGAACAAGACAGGAGATAGCGGACGCGAGATGTTATTTTCATTTCATTTAAATTACAAAAAAAAAAATTAAGCAAGAAAAAACGTTTGTTTGTTTGTTTTATTTAACAAACCAAACAATGTCGGGACTCAGGAAGTGTTAGGTTTTTTTTTTAGAGAAGAAAACAATCAATCAACGAGAATCACATCGACCATTGATTGGCAAGCGGACTGGAGGGCGCCGTCGGGGCCATCATGGATCAAGCCGAAAGGGAGGAAGTCGGGACTCATGGCAATCGACCGAGGATCGTAGGGGTCGGTCGAAAAGGAATATTAGATGAAAAAAAGGAAATATATTATAATATAAAAACTGCAAAAAAAAAGGCTTTACGCAGGAATAAGGAAAAGGTGCCTCTCAAAAAGGAGGAAGAAAATAAAGGAGAAAAAAGAAAGGTTGGAACACAACGACACAAGGAGGACTGGAGCGGTTACAAGGTTTCGCTATAGTGCCGTCTCTGCCTTTAGATCTCTCTCTCTCTCTCTCTCTCTCTCTCTCTCTCTCTCTCTCTCTCTCTCTCTCTCTCTCTCTCTCTCTCTCTCTCTCTCTCTCTCTCT